AAGCCCTCCCCGAAAATATTGCCACACAGCAGCAGCCATGAGGTTGCTACACACACTGTCTCCTGCACCTCAAAACTAATAAGACCTCCCTGAAAATAAGGCCAAGTGCTTATTTCGGGGGTCAAAAGAAAATTAGACCCTGTCTTATTTTCGGGAAAAACACGGCACTTATTTCAAACAACAACCACCACCACACCTAAGACAATTGCTAATGGCTCCTTTTCATATCCCCGGAACATGCTGGAAAACTGATTGTCTTTGTTTAAAAGAGTCAAGATCAAGCAAAGGGGCTCAGATCTGCGAGTCGCCAATTCCCAGGGCCTTCAACAAAAATCTGGAAGTCAGAAACACCCATTAGTTGGGTGGCCCGTCAAAGATCACCTCACCTCTTGTAGAATTGCCACCCTGTTTTGACTTGATGAAGGCCTGCTGACATCTTCACCTCTCGATATAATCTAAGTGATTAATTTTAGGTGTAGAGGGGAAGGAATGACATTCAAATGGCAAGGAAGACACTCTGCACTATAAAACTCCCTTCTGCTGGCTTCTTAAACCACCCCTTGCGGGATGTAGAAATCTCCAAAGAGCATCACCCAGGTTTCCCTTGGTCCAAATGCACTTTGCCTCAGGCGGTTTTGAGATTTCATCCTTCTCTCCTTCCCTCTCTCCTCCGTACACCATTTTGGGTGTCCTCTCTCCTTCCACTTCTGCGCCTTCCCTTACTAGCCTTCAAAGCAGCTTTCTGTGGCAGTCACGATACGTAGACAGAGTGACCTTTTTATGCTTCCCTGAGCAATTTGGGAGGTTATTCGGCACAAAAGTAATTTATTGTGTGCCTGGTGTTATCGGCCCCTCTAATCTGCAGATTAACATAAATAATTATTGTAATATTGTACCGCATTGCAATAATCTCCATGCTAATTGAATAGGACTCAGGCAAACACTTGCCACGAATTCAGCATACATTAAGGTTAAGCCATCTGTTTTGTGACAGAAATAGAGAATTAAGGCATGAGGAGGAGGAGAAACTGAAAGAGAAGAATTATTATTAATGGTATAATGAAATGTTCCTGAACTTATATTCAGAAGCAGTGGCGAATTATTGCCAGAATATTTGCATACTAGCTGAAGAATTAAGCTGTCAGCTAATTCTCTTCTTTGGCAGTGTGAATATTGGGGGTTGGGGAGTGGCTAATAAGGAGCAGAATCTCTAAAGCTAAGCTAAGTTTTCTATATATTTCACAAAAGAATAAAGGCAAATGAATTACAGACAGAAATATCCAAGAACATTGATTTATTAATTGTTATTAAGCACATATAGCGGTTGCTTTGCAAAGATCTAGAACGGAATATCAAAACTCTGTATCAGATCTATTTCAAGAATAGAAAATTAAGCCTTTTGGCTCTCAATTCTGGGGGTTTTTATTTTTTTAAAAAAATCAAAAGTAGAAAAAAAATTAAGAAACCTATCACGGAAAGAGAAAAAAAAGATAGCTCTTCATACTGATATGATTTACTGTTAGGGCCGTAATAAAGCACTTAATTTTAGTGCTGTTTCCGGTCTGAAATCTAAACATGTTTATTATCCTGTGCATTTTACTGGCATTACTATGAACACTAAAGTCGGTAAGTAGAAATGAAATGCATAATTTCATTTGTTAGAAGGACAAAAAGAAAAAAGAAAGAAAGCTTCCATATTCTCTCTCTCTCTCTCAATATATGTATTTTTTTTTAAAAAAAAAACAGATTGCTGAAGAATCTTAGATTCTTTGTGTGTGTATATGTGTGTGTTCTTTTAATTGACCCATTATTTTGCTTGCTTTCATTGCCAGCACCCCCTACTGAAAACGGAAGGCACTGGCTACCTGGCCCTCTTTTGATAAATAGTTTTAATTAAAATATTCTGTACCATAAGTATTTTAATGTTACCGACAAGCCAAAAGGTATGCAGCAATAAATTAAATTATATATTAAAATTAATCTATAAATATCCAGGAAAATTGACAGAAGCTTTTTAAGATTGGGAAGATGAGGTAGATTGCTAATTATGACAATTAAATAACCAGAGCACCCTCTCCTACCCCACCCCTCCCAAATGGAGAGAGAGGGAGGGAGATTAATGATAATCAATATTTCAGCACTGTTTTGGGAGAGAAAGAAGGAAATATTATATAGATGTCTATAAAAGTGAGACATTTGTAGTTTGTTTGAGTCCGGCTTTTGTTATTATAATAAAACGATAACCGGGAGAACATTAAACCTTTCAACACATTTACCAGTAAATAATAAGTGTGTGTGTGTGAGTGTGAGTGTGTGTGTGTACATACACACATTATGTTGCACAATTTATGATTTGTCTGCCACTTGGAGAAGGTCTTCTCGCATTCTATAATGTTGAAAATAATTGACTGTTTTGTTGACTTTAGGCCTTAATCAAAATCTTCTCCATCCACACATATTTTTCCATAGTATCTCTCTCTCAAAAAGAGAGAGGGAAAGAAAGAAATGAGAAGATAATTGAAAACATATTTTAACAGAAGCCTAGCTGCCACTGCTGTGAAATCTAGATTTCACTTGTGATTCTTAAAAAAATATTTCCAATGGAGAAAGTTTCCTCAAGGGGAGGGGGAGGGAGAGAGAGAGGGAGAGAGGGAGAGAGAGAGAGAGAGAGAGAGAGCATCTTCTGATCGAGGTGCAGACGATTGGGCTGCGTGATGAGCTGTCATTTTTCTAAAGATCCATCGTGGGGAACAATCCTGGATCTAGAATCTATGGACATCCTGAATTATACCTCCCTGTCATTCTGCTTCANCACAACAGTCATACCATTCGAGTGGGGTTGCAAGTCTTTAGCCCCAGGCCTGTCGGAACAGCCAGCTTTTAAGGGCTATGTGGAAGGCCTGGAGGGTGGTGAGGGTATGAATCTCCACGGGGAGTTGTTCCAGAGGGTCGGAGCAGCCACCGAGAAGGCCCTCCTCCAGGTAGTTGCCAGTCGACATTGGCCGGCTGATGGAATTCGGAGGAGACCTAGTCTATGGGATCTTATTGGTCTAGTGGAGGTAATTGGCAGTAGGCGGTCATGTTATTTTCATATTGTACTTGTAAAGTCCCACTATACTTCTTTTAATAGATGATGTGAAGACTAGAGCTGGCAAGGAGGAAATGAGAAGCTTGGGTCTACTCATCATGGCTGCTTTGTAAACATTGCCCATTTACAGACAAGCTAGAGTGAAACAAATAAACAAATAATCTCTTTCCCAAAAGCACACACATACACAAATTCTGGCTTTAAACCTCAGAGAGGTGGTGTGTGAGGAGGAGTTTTAGTACTGCCTAGGCACAAAGCCTTCCAGATTACCTTCGGCCAGTTATTTTCCCTCAGCCTTAGGAGGAAGAAAAGGGAAAACAACTTCTAGTATCTGGTGAAGAAAAATGCAAGAACATGTCCAGACAGTTGCCAGAAGTCAACACTGAGGCAAAGACGCAAATAACTGTCCATCTATCATCCAGCGCCGCATAACAGAGTGAGCTTCCATTATTTGTCCCAGTTTCTGCCAATCTATCAGTCTGAAAGCACGTAAAAAATGCAAGTAGAAAAATAGGGACCACCTTTGGTGGGAAGGTAACAGCATTCCATGCACCTTTGGTGTTTAGTCATGCCAGCCAGATGACCACAGAGACTTCTTGGGACAGCGCTGGCTGTTCAGCTTTGAAATGGAGATGAGCACTGCCATCTAGAGTCAGGAACAACTAGGACATATATGGGAGGGGAACTTTTACCTTTACCTTATCATCTAACTATCTGTCTGTCTGTGTATTTATCTATCTCTCATTCTGAAATGATATATCAGGTGAGGAAGAATTCAAGAACACAGTATGGACCAGAAAAGCCTGGGTCAGGGCCTTTTCCCAGTCATGCAGTTTTCTGGAGAATTTTGAAGGAGAAAGTTTCATACACTGAGGATCCAAAGCAAAGATTGTTGTGAGGATGGTCCACCAGTGGTAGGATTCAAATTTTCTTACTACCGGTTCTGTGAGCATGGCTTGGTGAGCATTGTGTGGCTTGGTGAACGTGGCTTGGTGGCTTGGCTTGGTGGGCGTGGCAGGGAGAGGATACTGCAAAATCCCCATTTCCTCCCTATCAGCTGGGACTTGGGAGGCAGAGAATAGATGGGGGAGGGGCCAGTCAGAGGTGATATTTGCCAGTTCTCTGAACTACTCAAAATTTATGCTACCAGTTCTCCAGAACTGGTCAGAACCTGCTGAATATCACCTCTGTGGCCCACCCTTTAATATACTTCTAATATATTATGCAGTTTTGATTGTTATCAGAAACAGAGGCAAACAGATATGCATCTTTTTTCTAGAAATCCTTTCTCATAAATCTTTACATTTACACATCATTTTTCAAGCTTCCTGTGACAGCACATCCATGTAGTAGAAAGAACAAGAAATATATCTTCTTCAGGTTATATGGGAATTTCCCTGGGATATGCATACACGAAGAAAGACAGTTTTTACTATGTAGAAATAACAATGATCTATTTTTGTTTGTTTGGGAGAGTATTAAGTGATATCTCTGAGTAGCTATGAAGGCTCCAATAGAGGGTTCACATACCTTCCCCAAAGCTTTGAGAGGGACTTTGCCATACCATTCCAATATTCCCACTAAATTAGAATGTTAAATGAGACTGAAGGGGCAGAAGGAACAACCATACTGACTATTTCATTTCACTTTGTTAAGATTACATCTACTTTAGCTTTTGTCTGCCCCATCATTTCTTAGTATATATCCCCACCATGCTATTCAAAGTGAAAGTAGTTTGGGACACACACATACACCATGTCAATCCCTGCCAGTCATTACTGGCTTCATATCCAATCACACTAAATTGATCTGCTCATCTCTTTCTTCACCCCATCCCCCTTTTTTTAATACCAGTGTGTTTGCTTTACTGCTGACTGCCACAGTCTATCTAAATGAAATGTTTTCTACTCACTTTGGAGGTATTCTAGCAGACTCCCATGTCTCATCAGCTCTGTAACAATATAAATTGGATCCTGTAAAGTGCAAACAGCATAGAGCTGTATAAGCTTCGGGTGTCTCAAATTCTTCATTATCTGTGCCTCCCTGAGGAAGTCTTTTGGATCCATTGAACCTGAAATGAGAACAGCGGTGAAAGAAAATTAGTGTGTGTTATTAAGGGCTATTCTGGTTTGCCCCACAGTCTTGTGGAAAGAACCAAGGATATTGTCTGCGTCTCTGCTAATCAGCACAGATAACAATGCAAACACATTACTTTTAGCCCCCAAAAAATGAATTCTAAAAAAATATATTCAGCAATAATAGCAATTGTAGTTCTGGTTCTCCAACTTCCCTCAATCCCCACATAAATGCTATTGGTTATTATCAAAGATGAAATCAGAATAGCATTATTGGTTTCACTGTTCATCTGCATCCTCAGAATGGAAGCATGATCAGAAAATGTGTGGTAATTTTCATCTTACCTATCCAACCTCTAGCCACAGATTTAATCCATAACAAAGATCTCACTTTCTTCAAGATATATTGTTATAGCTCATTGTAGTTTGGAATTATTCTATTAGATGTTATAATAAATAAGTAATGCAAGTTTTGGTATCAAGAAATTAAACAGTATGTTCTGCTGCTGCCTCATGCAGTAAATTCATGCCAGGGAAAAATCAGATTTCACAACAATTTAGACAAGTAGTCTACATTAGTGTTGCGTTGAATTTTTTTTCTACCTGTCGGTTGTCAATATAGTTTATTTAAGTGAATATGAAATTCCTTTGTTGTTGTTTCTGTTGTGGAGGGTCGGGGGGTTGGAAAGAAATGTGAATAGCTCCATTCTCTTACATCGCTTTCACAGTCTGAAGGTGATTCCATGAAGCCAAAATTACCAATTGATGAAAATAACCATTTCAAACAATCCACACACAGATTTGTTGGTATTTTCAGGGATTGTTTTCTAATGTACACATAGTCCAAATATTTGCATTTTTTGCAAATAATACACCTTTAGTATTTCTTTTTCTTCAATAAATCTTTTAGCAGTACTTCCATATCTCCAGCATGCATATGTCTTGCATTTTAGATTTCATCTGGCTGAGAACTCTGAGGTTCTAACATTTCTGGGGCTACAAAAAGTGAGGACAATTATTCTATAGGTTCAGTTGGGACAAAAATAATAAATAAATATTTAAATAGAATGTGTTTTGCTATTCTGGTGGAAAGCCTTATTTAACTACTATAATCTTCTCCAGGCCATTTATCTTGGAAAATCAGTGTTTTAATCACTTACTGCATAGTCTTCTATCTCATATGGAAACCTCACATACTTTTAAAATGCATGAAGAAGACTACTGAGAATTTTATGGGAAACATTTTACATGGAACCTTAGAAAATATATGGGGTATGTACAGGGGTGGGTTCCTGCCGGTTCTAACTGGTTCGGTAGAAGAGGTTCCACAAATCTACCATGCCGTTTAGAACTGGTTGGAACGCTCGGCTCACTCTTCCCACCCGACGCGATCTCCTTTCATTCTCCGTCTGCCTCATTCACTTGTTCGGGCAGCAGAGAACGAAAGGAGATTGCATAGCTGAGGGCCAAAGAGCCTGTAGCCTCCTTCATTCAAACGTTCGGGCAGTGGGGGGGGGCTTTCTCACATGCCTTCTTTCTTTCTCCAAAGGCGTGCAAGAGAGCCCCCCCCCCATTGCCCTAACGTGCCCCGGAACTGCACCGTGAGGTAAGGGAAGCAGGTCTTGGGAGAGACCTTCCATCCCCCTCCAGAGAGCCCACCCCGAAAGAGAGGAGGTGGGCTGGTTTAAATGCGGGCGAGCGGGCAGTTTAGTGGCCCGCCTTCTTTGCTAGTTCAGGCGAGTGGAGAAAGAAGGCATGCAATAGTCGAGGGTGAAGATGCTCCACTTCACCCTTGGAAGCAGGAGTGCTTTATCAGAAACCTTTTTTCTTCCTCTGCCTACCCGAATTAGCAAAGGAGGTACTGGCCCCAAACTGCCCGCTCATCTGCATTCAAACCAGCTCGTCCCCTTTTGTCTCCTGGCATGGGCTCTCTGGAGGGGGAGGTTCTTTCCAAAGACCAGTTTCTTTCCGGCGCACCGATGGCCAGCGAAGCTGTTAGCAAAGGCAAGAATCCCACCGCTGCGCCAGATTCAGCAAACCATGAGGCTGTCAGAGAGAAGAGGGCAGTGTGTGGCCATGGGTTTGTGCAACAGCTGAATCCTCATCTCCTATTCTTTAGCTGCTGCACAAGCCCACGTGGCGTGCACTGAACTCTTCTCTCTTGACAGCAGCCTGGTTAAAAAGAAGGACAAGGCCCCGCTGGTCCGAAGTCCATCCACAGGGGGAGGGGTCTCCCTCACATTCCTCGTCTTCCTGGATGGGCTCCGGAATCATCGCCAGCCACACAGAGCCTCGCCGCGGCTCCACGCCAGAGAAATCATAGGCACGTGTGCACACTCTATAAAGTACAGCCTTGGAGACTTTGTAACAGCGGGAAACAGTTGGGAAAGGGGCTTTGGTCCTGCTCCGGGCTGTAATTGTGTGGGGTGTGCATGCACCTATATTTCCCATGGCATGGAGCTGCAGCCAGAAGACGAGGAATGGGAGGGCGATCAGTGTCCTTTAGAAGAGGACCTGCTCCCAAAGAGAAAAATGCCACTGCCAGGTACTTTTAACCTGTGATTGGAACACAAGGTGACCACAGTATATGTGTCTGTATGTGTGTGTGTGAGAGAGAGAGGGAGAAAGACAGACAGACAGACAGACAGGGATACAGAGAGAGAGATACAGAGAGAGAGGGGGGGAGGGAGGAGGGAATCAGAGAGAGACAGACAGACACACAGAGAGAGACAGAGAGGGGGAGGGAGGGAGGGAGGGAGGGAGAGACAGACACAGAAAGAGAGAGACACACACAGAGTGTGTGAGTGAGTGAGTGAGTGGCAGACACACACACACACACACACACACACATACACACAGAGTGACAGAGAGGAAGGAAAGGGGAGAGATAGAGAGACACACAGAGAGATAGAGAAAGAGGGAGGGAGGGAGGCAGACAGACAGAGAGACAGACACACACACAGAGTGAGTGGGAGACAGACAGACAGACACCTACACATAGAGTGACAGATGGGGGAGGGAGGAGAGATAGACAGAGAGAGAGAGACAGACAGACAGACAGACAGACAGACACACAGAGAGAATGACAGACAGACACAGAGAGAGAGAAAGAGAAAGACAGAGATTGAAAGAGAAAGGAAGAAAGAAAGAGAGAGAGAGAGAGAAAGTGGGAAAGAGAGATGAAAGAAGAAAGAAAGAAAGAAAGAAAGAAAGAAAGAAAGAAAGAAAGAAAGAAAGAAAGAAAATTTATGACCACAATTGTGCCCAAAATTTTGGTTGCTAAGCAAGAGCATTGTTAAGTGAGTTTCACTACATTTTCCAAGTTGCCCATGCCCACCTGGTCACATGACCACCAAGCCACTCCCACAAAACAGGCCATACCTACAGAATAGGTTCTAAAAAAATTTGAAACCCACCACTGGGTATGTATGGCTTTTGGATATTGTTGAACTTCAAATCCCAGCATTCCTCAACATAGGCCTTGCTGGCAAGAACAGAAGGGATTTGGGTTCAGCAAAACTAGAGGCTCCTTTTAATCTTCTGCATTAGAGCCAAACTAAGCTTTACAGAGGGATGTAATTTGCCTTGTAGTTCTCCTAAAGCAGGGGTGTCAAACTCAAGGCCCAGGGGCCGAATCCACCCTGCAAGGTGCTTAGATCTCGTCTGCAGGGCCGCCCTGGAAACAGTGAAGGACCAGCCCGCGGTGCCTCTGCCAACAAAAATAGAGCTTGGGAGTCTGTATTCGCTGGCAGAGTGCTCGGGCCACCAAATCTGGCCACACCCACCCGGACATACCCCCCACCCAAGGTCAAACATAACCTTGATGCAGTCCTCAATGAAATGGAGTTTGACACCCTGTCTTAAAGTATTATTGCATGAGTAAATGTAATCTGGCAGTTTTTAAATTGGCTAAAAAACCCCGTGCTAAGATCTATTGTATTTAAATTTTAAAACTATGTTGGCACAATATGGTTAGCATCTATCCTATCTGTCAGGCATTCTTACCAAATAATGACTAAAATCTCATTGCCAGATATCTTCTATTCTTCTTTCCTTTACTACCCCTCCCTTCCTTTTAAAAGGCATCAGGAAAATACATCAGCAGCAAGAAAATTCAAAGTCAAACCTAGTATTGGAATGCTTTAAAAATGTAAAATGATGAAAGCACATAATGAGTTAGTAGACTTACAAATGCAGTTCGCGTGATTTTAAAAAATATTCCAATGCTGATATATGACTCAAAGATCTCGCAAGTGCTTCATGGGACCACTTTGTTTCTATGAAGGTTGGGGCCAGTTTAATAAGTATGGTGTGTGTGTATGCATGTGTGTTAGGTTAATTGAAGGCCTTTCTATTTGTAAAAGCTGCAGTTTAATCATTTGTCCTTTTATATAACATTGGAAGGATCAAAGATCAATTTTTAAGCAAATGGATAAAATGGCTCAAATAGTTTTATCGTGTGAAACTTTTCAACTGTGTAGCATTCAATAATCTTAGACATTATTATCCCTAAGTTCTTTCTTAAATAAATACTTGCTCTCTATGTTATAATAGCTCTCTATCCTACAATAATTATTTAACCATGCCGATAAAATAGTGCAAGTCTTTCGTTCGTTAGTATAAGAGGTTTTTTTAAAAAAAACTCAAAACAAAACTTATTCATGCTATCCATTGCTTGAACAAAAATGACTCACATTCAAACTTACTATTCAATGTATAATGCTATGAGATTTCTTAAAATTAATAGAAATAGAAAGAGCAACATGTTTAAAATCCATATAGACAGTGTGTTGTCTGGTTACAATTCTTTTGATATTCATCATGGTAATAATAATAGTATTCTCTAATAGTAATCTCATAATGACAGTGCTTTTCCCTCATAATATTAATGCATATTAATTGTTAATACAAATAAAAACTAATCAAAATTAATAAGTTACAGTAATCAACCCTAATAATAAAATTAATCTTTCTTTTGTAATTTTAGGAGTTCTAA